TATTTATATGGTCAATTAATCTGACAAAGGAGACAAAAATATACAATAAGTAAAAGACAGTCTCTTTGGGACGCCTGGGTGGCTCAGTGGGTTAAGCCGCTGCCTTCGGCTCGGGTCATGATCCCTGCGTCCTGGAATTGAGTCCCACATCGGGCTCCTTGCTCAGCGGGGAGCCTGCTTCTCCCTCTGCCTCTGCCTGCCACTCTATCTGCTTGTGCTCACTCTCGCTCTCTCTCTCTGACAAATAAATAAATAAAATCTTTAAAAAAAAAAAAAAAAAAAGACAGTCTCTTTGACAAATGGTGCTGAGAAAACTGGACAGCTATATGCAGGAGAATGAAACCGGACAACTTTCTTACACCATGCATAAAAATAAACTCAAAAGGATTAAAGACCTAACTGTGAGACCTAAAACCACAAAACTCCTAAAAGAAAGCATAGGCGGGGACGCCTGTGTGGCTCAGTCAGTTAAGCTGCCTGCGGCTCAGGTCATGATCCCAAGGTTCTGGGATCAAGCTCCACATCGAGCCCCACATCAGGCTCCCTGCTCAGTGGGCAGACTGCTTCTCCCTCTCCCTCTGCCTGCTGCTCCCCCTACCTGTGAGCATGCTCTCTTTGTCCAATAAATAAAAAAAACAAAACAAAAAAAAGCATAGGCAGTCATCTCTTGGACATCAGGCTCAGCCACATTTTTATGGATATGTCTCCTTGGGCAAGGGAAACAAAAGCAAAAATAAACTATCGGTACTATACAAAAATAAAAACTTTTGCATAAACAATGAATTGTGGAACACTGAAAAAAATTACATTAAAAAAAAAAAGCTTTTGCACAGCAAAATGAAAACAACCTGCTGAAAGGGAGAAGATATTTGCAAATGATATATCTGATAAGGGGTTAATATCCAAAATATATAAAGAACTTCTACAACTCCACACACACACCATGCACACATACACACACACACACACACACACACACACACACACACACACCACACATCTCACAAAAAGTCCAATTAAAAAATGGGCAGAGAACCTGAATGGACATTTTCCAAAAAAGAGAGATGGCCAACAAGTAAGTGAAAAGATGCTCAACATCACTGCTTATCAAGGAAATGCAAATCTCCACACAATGAGGTATCACCTTATACCTGTCCAAATGGCTAGAATCAGAAGGACAACAAATAACAAGTATTGAGAAAAGGGAACCTTTGTGCACTGTTGGTGGGAATGCATATTTGTGCAGCCATCATGGAAAATTAAAACTATCCTATAATCCAGGAATCCCATTTTTGGGTATACATCGAAAGGAAATGAAAACAGGATGTCAAAAAGATATCTGTACTCCCATGTGCAATGCAGCATTCACAACAGTCAAGATATGGAAACAACCTAAGCATTTGTAAGTAGATGAATGGATAAAGAAGATGTGATATATTTATATAGTAGAATATTATTCAGCCACGAGAAAGAATGAAATCCTGCAGTATGTGACATGGATGGACCCAAGGGCATTATGTTAACTGAAATAAGTAACAGAGAAAAACACAAATACTGTATGATATCACATAAGATATCACCTTATGTGATATCATACAGTATTTGTGGAATCTAAAAGAGCTGAACTCATAGAAACAGAGACTAGAAAGATGGTTACCAGGAACTAGTGTGTGGTGAAATGGGGAGATGTTGGTCAAAGAGTACAAATTTCCAGCTGTAAAATGAATAAATCCTGGGGCTCTAATGAACAGCATGGTGTGATTATAGTTGATACAGTATTATATATTTGAAAGATGTTAAGAGTAGATCTTAAATGTTCTTACCACAAAAAAGAAATGGTGATTGTGTGACATGATGAAGGTGTTAGCTAAGTTATGGTGGTAATCATTTTGCGATATAAAAAGTGTATCAAATTAACTTGTACACCTTAAACTTATAAAATATTATATGTCAATTATATTTCAATAAAGCAGGTGGGGGAAATGTAAGTAAGAAATAAGTAAACTAATATTTCCTTTTGTGCCTCCACGGAAACATAACAAGAAGTACACTTTGTTGTTTAATTTTGCAATAATACTTAAAAATTTTTTGGAAAGGGGCACCTGGATGGTTCAGTCAGTTAAGCCTCTCCTTTGGCTCAGGTCATGATCTCAGGGTCCTGGGATTGAGCCCCACAGTGGGCTCTCTGCTCAGTGGGAAGCCTGCTTCACCCTCTCCCTGCTTCTGTACCCTCTCTCACTGTCTCTTTCTCTCTGTCAAATAAGTAAATAAATAAATAAAAATCTTGAAAAGTCTAAATTTTATCTAAATTATTGTAGATCTTAAGTATATTTATATATACTTCACAAATGCATTAACATTTTAATTTTCTTGTAATTTGCTATTTTACTCAAAAATAAAATTCATTTATAATATATTTTCTTACATTTAAGAATGGATCAGTGACTTTACAAAGGAGAATTAAGATTTGCTTTTTCAATCATACCTGTTTCACTGGGAAAAGATGAAACAAATATACCAGAGATTTCCCTGACTCATGACCACGAGACATCTACTCCAAAGGAACTGGACTAACCTCTAAGTGAAAGTAAATATGAAGAAAGCTATTTCCCCCTAGGTTTCATAGATGTTTCTCATTTACCTTATTATGCCTTATTCGACAGAATGTTTTCAAGTATTCTTACTGAGCTAGCTAACTGTGGCGTCCGTTTGATATCAATCATTCAGGGTCGAAACAAAAAGGAACTAAATAATTCAAACACAGATGTAATAAGTAAATATTTCATCAAGAGAATTATACTTCTTTTTTTTTTTTTTAAGATTTTATTTATTTGACAGAGATCACAAGTAGGCAGAGAGGCAGGCAGAGAGAGAGGGAAGCAGGCTCCCTGCTGAGCAGAGAGCCCGATGCGGGGCTTGATCCCAGGATCCTGAGATCATGACCTGAGCCGAGGGCAGAGGCTTTAACCCACTGAGCCACCCAGGCGCCCTGAGAGAATTATACTTCTGCCTTAAAACGGAACCTCTAGATACGGCTGAACTTAGCTGTGTAGCTTGTATTCATCTCGTTATCAACACTAACTGAGAACAGGGGTTCTGTTAAAGGAGCTGGGCAGTGCACACTTATGGTAGAGAAATACTTGAAATGTTGAGTAACTCTTTCGAATCTCGTGGTTTTTACTGGAACAGCCGTGTTGACCTCTGCACTCCTAGTATAACAGCACTAGTGAGTAAAACTACTACGCCCCACACAAGCCAAGCAGAGGAGCTAGTCACTGTATTCTTCACCACTGCCTGCAGTCATAACACTGCCAGTCTCGCACAGAAATGTGTTTGAGGATGCAGCATGAATATTAATTTTACTCAATTTTACACTTGAAAATACTTTTTATAAAAAACGGTCTGTGTGGTGAAAAGGAAAGCATGCATACTGCACTTCCGCTGCGTAACAGATCAGGATAGCTGTCCGGAGGAAAAGCACTTGGAACTGTGGAGCAGCAAGATCAATGAGCTGCCTTTTGTAATGGAAATTTACTTAAAAGAATGGCAGACAGTGGGTACTCAGAATTGAGTATTTGGCACATACTTTCTCAAAAATTAGTGAAATGACCCCTTTACCTCAAGGCAAACAAATGACAGCATTTTGTAGCCAATGATAAATTTGAGTTGTTTTTTTTTTTTTGTTTTTTTTTTTTAAAAATTTTTTTTTTTTTTTTTTTGAGAGAGAGAGAGGGAGAGAGAGCGAGCACAGGCAGACAGAATGGCAGGCAGAGGCAGAGGGAGAAGCAGGCTCCCCGCTGAGCAAGGAGCCCGATGTGGGACTCGATCCCAGGACGCTGGGATCATGACCTGAGCCGAAGGAAGCTGCTTAACCAACTGAGCCACCCAGGCGTCCCTAAATTTGAGTTTTTAAGCACAGATTTGAATCTTGGAAAATTTGTTCCTGTCAGTGTGAGCTGACAGCTTCCTAAGACCTGAAGACGTTTCTGATGAGATTGCTGCTGATGAGAATGAAAGTGCTGATGCTAAAAAATAAACATGACAGGGCCAGAAGATCCGCATAACTTAATAAACTAGTATCTCCCAAATGAAGCATGCGTTAAAAAACCAGCCTACAAAATCCTGCTTGAGCAGAAAAGCTTACCAGAAGTATACCACCAACAAAACCCCAACCAAACAAAAATGTATCCCACAGACAAGCTCATTGTTGTAATTTCAGATTCTGTGTAGCAACTAACCTTAAAACGCTACCATTTTCAAATTTTGGTGAGGTATCTATCCAAGGAGAAAATCCACAATGATCTGATATGGCTACTGCAATATTCTTGTCTTTTCCAACTATAAATCTGTGTGAGGCTGAGTTTTCATCATATACTTCAACCAAAACAACACATCGCACCAGACTGAACAGAAGCACCTATGAGAACTGGCTGTCTTATGTCAGGTAATAAAGAGAGGTGCAAAAATGAAAAACAATGCCACTCTTGTTAAGTAATTTTCTTCTTGGAAAAGATCACTTTTTCATAAAAATATGCTATTTGTGTGAAGATGTAATCAATTATTTTTAAATGAAATAATATTTTAAAAATTTGTTTTAATTTCAAACATGGTAAAAAAATATTGATAAATAGGGCGCCTGGGTGGCTCAGTGGGTTAAAGCCTCTGCCTTCCGCTCAGGTCATGGTCCCAGAGTCCTGGGATCGAGGCCCACATCGGGCTCTCTGCTCAGCGGGGAGCCTGCTTCCTCCTCTCTCTCTGACTGCCTCTCTGCCTACTTGTGATCTCTCTCTCTGTCAAATAAATAAATAAAACCTTAAAAAAAATATATTGATAAATACAACCCACATAAAAAAAAAAAAAGTTCATTGGGATCCTCAATAATCTTTAAGATCATAGTGGTGCTGAGACCAAAAGTTTGAAAACTGCATTTCTAATATAATGAAGCATTCTAAGAAACAGAAAAGCAAAGGTGGCTGAGAAAGTAAATGTACATTACTTACAGCAGAAAGGCCTCATTCACAGCATCAAAGAACTCAGGCCAGAGCACTTCCTGAGGTTCATGTCCATGGTAGGTGAGAAGAGCCTCCACCAGTGGTTCAATATCTGGCAGAGTTACAAGTGGTATACAAATTCGTGACAGGAGCCTTATTTTTTCAGGAACTATTCTACAGAAAAAATAAGAAATAATTATCCAAATCTTAGAGCCACGTGTAATTAAAGACAAAATCTTCATGCTGAAGACTGATGAAAGTTACTTGCTTTGTCCCTCACATAAAGAGGGCTAACACCACTGATGAACCTTTCTAAGAGAAATCCTCTTGGAGAACTCTCCAAGAAGAAATCCTTCAGCTGAAATTTCCCTTTCAATGTCACTTATTGTCAGGACTTTGGCATAACTATCTACAGGCACTTCCAATTTACCACCCCTAAAACAGAACTCTTGAATTCCTTCCCCAAATGTTCTTTTCCCCAGCACTGCTGATCTCATTTGCTCAGGCGAAAGCCTTTCAAGGCCGTCCTTGATTCCCCCCCTTTCTCATGCCCCTTACCTAATTCAGCACTGATACTGTCAATTCATTTGACAATTTCTCTATACTCTGTCACTACCCACTAATTCATCATCACCTGTGGTCTGAGTTACTGTAGGAGCCTCTTCACTTTCTCCCCAGTTCTGCCCTCATCCCTACTGTTTATCATAATAATAGTTCTCACAACCTTTAAAAATTCAGATCACTTCACTTGTCTGCTCAAAGCCTTGCAATGGTTTCCCACTTCCAAGAAAAAGCAAAGTCTTATACTGGCTGCTGTGGCCTTCCATGATGGGGGTCGCTTCTGTTTCTCTGGCTTCATTTTCTTCTACTCTTTTTCTTACTCATCATGGCCCAGCCTTATAGGCCTCCTCCAAATTCTCCAGATGAGATCCTGCTTTTCATTCTGCCTGGAACCTATGGTTAGCTCCGTCATTTCATATAGGTTTCAGCTCAACTGTTGCCTTATGCTGATGGCATCCCTGACCATCCCATTTAAATGCACTGACCAATATGGTAGCAGTGAGCCACATGTGGCAATTTAAATTTAATTTAAATGAAATAAAATTTAAAATTCCATTTGTCTGTTGTGCCAGCCACATAACAAATGCTCAACGGGTACATGAGGCTAGTACCTTACAGTATTGGACACTGCAAATTTCCAAAACTTGTCCATAATGCAGGAAGCACCACGGGATACCAGAGCTTAACACAGAAAGTGCCCACCCACCCCATCTATCTCTTTTATAGTTTTACTTTCCTTTAGAGTACTTTTCATTACCTGGCCTACAATGTATTTTTTTGTTTATTGTTCATGGTCTGTTTCTTCCTGCTAGGATGTCAGCTTTATGAGGACAGGTACTTTTTTCTATTTTGCTCTCTGCACCATTCCCAGCATGCAGGAAACAACTCCTTACATATACTACATGCTCAAGAAATAGATCTTAAATGAATAAACAAACAACTAGAGATCAATACAATGAAAATTTGAGATGTAGGCTATTAGATCTTTTTCTAGTTATATTCATGTATAATCATAAATGGAGAAATTTAGTCTTGTGTTTTCTGAAACACAAATGGAACCACAACAGAAAACAAAAAGCTGTCCCCCATTTTTTTTTACTTGCTGCCTATTATTAAACCAATATGTATGTTTTGTAATTTGACAATGTCTTTATTTATAGGCTTTTAGGTTATTTCTAATTTATCATCATCATAAACACCACTAAGGTAGGACCCTTGCACATGCCTATCTGAGACCATGTGTGAACATTTGCATATTGAATTGCACTCCGAAAGACAACAATTTTCCTTTTCCCAAACTCCAACCCAAGTGCGTAATCTCCTCACAATACATTCAAATATATCTGACATTTTAACATTTTCATCATCTTAAATAAGTTTCTCCTAGAACCCTCTGACCTGTTACAACCCAGGCAGGTCACTTTTTTATTCCCTCTGTAGAGTTATCATCTTGGGATCTCTGTCCTGGGGATTTCCTTTACTTCTCTCCTAAACCCTACTTCTTTTTTTCTTGGTTCATTCTTCTTAAGTGGGAAAGGTACCAAAAAAAAGTATTTGAGACGTTGTATGTCTCAAAATATCTTTATTTTATCCTCTCACTTGGTTGATACTTTGAGTATAGAAATCTTGTAACTTTCCAACAAAACTGTGAAGGTGTGGTCCTATTGTCTTCTAGCTTCTAGTGTTGTTCCTGAGAAGGTCCATACTATTATGAATCTTTATCCATTATGTAAGTCCTGTTTTTACTCCCTTGAGGGTTTTGGAAATCCTCTTTGAAATTTCACACTGATGTGCTGGTATAGGATTTATTTTTATTCATTGTGCTGGGCACTCAGTAGAGTTTAAATCAGAAAAGTTCTCTTGATTGTTTCTTTGATAATTTTCTACCCATTCTTTTATCTCTTCTCTCTCTATGAGAACACCAATCTTTTTGAATATTGAACTTCCTGGACACTTTTCTGTCCTTTCTTTCTTATTTTTCATTTCTTGGTCTTTTTACTCTAGATTTTGAAGAACTGTTCAAATTCATCCTTTTTTTTTTAGTATATGTGCTGCCGAAGCGAGCACTCATCCTCCTTTTTTTAAAAAAATATTATTTATTGAGAGAGAGAACATGAACAGGGGGAGAGGGGCAGAGTGAGAGGAAGAAGCAGACTCCCTGCTGAGCAGGGAGCCCAACATAGGGCTTAATTCCAGGACACTGAGATCATGATCTGAGCTGAAGGCTCACTGAGCCACCCAGGCGCTTCCCAATCTTATTATGGTTTTCATTACTACTCTCTCATGATTAATTTACAGGAACTTTTTTTTTAATAGCCTTTTTTAAAAAATAGCATTCTGTTCTTATTTAATGGATGTAATATTACCTTTTTTTTTTATGGAGGCACTAATATTAATTTATTTGAGATATTTTCTTTGAATAATCTTTTTTATTTGTATTGCTTTCTATTTTTTCATATTATATACTTAGTATGATTTCCTTAAATATCTGGTGACCATTGCTGCTCTGCTTATATACACATTTTTTTTTTTTTTTTTTTTGAGCTGGGTACAGAACACTTTATTGATGATACAGCACAAGATAAGTCTCCCTGAGCCTTTCCCCTTCTTCAGGAGGTCTGGGATAGAAACTGTGTAGAGATCTGGAGATTCTCAGTGTGTTGAAGTTTAAAGATTAAACTTTAAAAATTATGGAGAATACCAAAGGGCTTTTGTTTATGAGGTTGTCACTTTCAACATTTATGATGTTTGAAATTAAAGTAGAGACACCTGACAATACCAACTCACTAAAAGTAACAATGATAAACTCATTAGATATTAACATAACAACTAGATTTTATAAGACAAAGAAATAGTAAGAAGAGTGGCACTCATTTATATGATTGTAAATCTTACCATATGGTCTGAAGGAAGACACTTGGATTCTTTTATACATTTCTGCATTCAATCTGTTGCACTATGTTTTGAACAAAGTCTATGGAGAGAGATTAGCCCCACACAGATATGTAGTTGTAAAAGGCAGAAGTATTTTAATAGCCTCTTCATATAACTACGCATATTATCTTTGACAAGACCAAAACTCACCAAGCACTGCCCACCCCCTCACTACAAGCCTGTCTATGAATGCAGGTACAGCTGCCCGTCATGGGTCTAGGGTACTGGAGATGGGGAGTCTTTACCATGGTAACAGCTGAAATTTAGTGTCAGAGGCATCCCCTCAAAGCAGCAAGTCTTCAAGAGACTCCAGAGTTCCAAAACAGTTACATCAGGCAGAGTGTCTCAGTAAAATTTTGGTCTAGGTAAAGAGGTAGACTCCAGGCCCTTCATACTCCATTATCTTCCCCAACATCCCCCTCTGATCTCTTGTATTAAAATGGAAAAACAAGGGACACCTGGGTGGCTCAGTCGGTTAGGCATCGGGTCAGGATCCTGGGGTCCTGGGACTGAGTCCCGAATTGGGCTCCCTGCTCGGTAGGAAGCTGCTTCTCCCTCTGCCTGCTCTGCCTGCTGGTCCCCTGCTTGTGCTCTCTCTGACAAATAAACAAAATCTTAAAAATAAATAAATAAATAAATAAATGGGAAAAACAAAACCAAAATACTCTACCTTCTTACTTTCCACTTCTCTGTCCTTTTGCACTTTATCCCAGAACTATTTGGCTCAGTCTTTGAAGTCATTATTTGCTATTCAGCTCTAGCTCCTATTCAACCTTTTATTTTTTCCTCTAAGTCCTTTTTTAGAAATGTAACCAATTTATTAGTATTTCAAGAATTTGGTAGTTTCTCTTATTATTCTTAGGACAATTAATTTTATCCCTTTAAAAAAAAACACTTGCCCAACGTAATGCATTTAATTAGTATATTTGTATCTTCTGTTTCGTTGCATTTAGTTCATTTTTCTTCATGGTACTAGTTCTCCATGAATCTCTGGTGATTTTTGTTTGTTCGCTCTTTCTGGGATTTGGGATTCCCCATTAGCCTCTCTTTTTACTATAGCCTCCTCTGGTACTTGTGGGGAAGATCAATATGTAGTGCTGGTTGGGGTTGCCAATAAACCACATTCTGCACATCAGAGCATCCTCAGAACTGTTGGAAATTAATAGCCATTTGGTGCTTCTTTCTCCAAAATCTTTCTCCCTCCTTCCTGTTAGAAACAGGACATTTCTGTCATCTCTTGTTTGAAGGCAGTGGATAAGGAGGAGTGTAGGGAGCCAGCTTCTGTGAATTCCAAGAGTCCAACAAGCTGTTTTGTTGGCTGCCACATGCCCTGCTGCTCCATGAATCCACCCTAACGTTACTTGTACCTTTGTAGTAATATTCTCCTGCAAGCTTTTTGGGCTGTGATATTTCCCTTCAAAAATATCCTATCTGCCATTTGAAGCCTTTCTTGTAACTTGTGGGTCATCAAATGCTCCCTTGTTTTACAGTATTATATAATTAATTGTTAAAATTCACCCATGATTTCTAGGAGTTGGAGTATAAAGTGAATGCTATGTCACATGTGCACCTAGTTCATCACCTGATTTATTCTCCTGAATTACATTTTCATCTTATTCTCTCCTGATTATGAGAGCCACTATTCTTCAGAGGTCTTACGTTTTATTACTTTTTAAAAT